TATATATATATATATATATATATATATATATGTAATATAACGCGGCTTGTGGACACGATAGCGTCTACAATTCTCAACGGATTTAGATGAAACTCGGTACACATATTCTTTAGGTAATTACCTTGAACAAGTTCGAAGATGAGCAAAATCGATCAATTAGTTTAGAAACGGCGGCCATTTAAAATTTTCAAAAAAGTGAAAATCACGTTTTCGGCCACTTCATTGATGTATAACTTTTGATTGAACAGAGATAGCTAATTTTTGAAAAATTTATGTGATAGCTCATGAAATTACCTTTAATTTGAGGTCTATAACATTGACATTTTGACCATTTTTAGTTATTTTATCAAAGTTAAGAGTGCAACTGAACCATTTTCAGGCAATGTGTAGTACAACCGACTTACCCGCATGAAAAAACTATATATGGCTGAACATATATGGAAAGTTATATGGGGAATATGTGATCATATATAGCGGCAAAATTATATATATGAAATAATAAACATTTTATTAATATAATGAAAATATATTTGATTTAATATAAGTTCAAATATATTACTGCCGTATATTACATAGTATATGTTATAAAATATACTATTATTATATAAAAATTACTTATATAGAAAACTATATAATAGATAAATATATTTTTCGTAAAATATATGTTGAGATAGATTATTACTGTATACTTTTATTTATAAAATTTCAATTATATGGCACTATATATTTTATATTATTGTAAAATACCATACATAATACCAGATATTTATGATGTGTCGAAATAGCTCAAAACGGAAAGATCTCAAAGACGTATAATTTGAGACTCATGCACTGTTGGCTTAAAAAATATTTTTCTGACTCTTTTGGTTGTGAAAAGACTCCAACCTTTTGATATTTATCACGTGATATTGACATTTTATAGTTTTTTTTTTATCTATAGACTATTTTACACCTTCCTAAAGTTCGAGTGAAGTTAAGAGATTTTCTCTATGGCCCAAAACAGCTCCGTGAGTGTTTAAAGCGTTAAATTCATCCTTGAGTCTTACCCTGAAAGATTATGTTGGCGATTAATCGATTGTTTTTTACATTTTAATGATTTCACACCTCCCAAAAGTTATGAAACAATTGAAAGATTCTCTTGTAGGATCAAATTTTACATGTCAAGTTTTAAAACATCCACAAAAAAAAGGTTCACTTGAGCCAAGAAAACATTTTTCTTCCTAATTATTTTCTTAAGCGAAAAAAAAATTTTTTTTGACACAAGAAATTTCACTTATTCCAAGAAAATTAATTCTCTTGCTTTAAGAAATACGTATCTTGATCCAAGAAAATTTATTTAAGTCAAGAAAATCTTATTGTTTTGAGAAAATTTAGCCTCTTGCTCCAAAAAATTTAGTTCTTGATAGAAGTAAATTTTCTTGTCTTGAGAAAATTTCTCTCTTGCTCCAAAAAATTAAATATCTCGATAGAAGTAAATTTTCATTAATATTCTTATTGATTAAAACATCAAATGGAAAGATCAAATAATATTGAATCATTTTTTTTGATTCAATATGTATAATTGCACGCTAAAATAATATAAAATGGGTATCAAATATTCAAAAGAAAAATTTTCTCAAAGTGAGAAAATTTTTTTCTTAACTGAAGTAGGTGGCGCTGCTTCCCTAAAGTATCTAAATATCTTGATCAAATATAAAGATTTATTGTATCAAGTATTTATGATAATTTGAATGAAGAAAAAATTACTCCCATCAAGAATAAAATTTCAAAAAAAATTTTTACTTCGGCCAACACAACTTCGGTCTTCCTTCAGGCATCCGAAAATTTTCTTGAGCCAAGAATTTTGTTCTCCAGTCAAGAAATTTTTCTTTCTGTGTCGAATTTATATGAATAAAATAAGTTTCTTAATTATTATTTGTACTAATGGTATAACTATATAATAAAATAAATATTTAGTACTCTAATGCTGGTATTTTATTTTCAGAGTTACAAAGAGATATAGAATAAATTATTAAAAACTATTTAATATTTTTTAACATTATTAATTTTATTACGTTAAAAGTCCATTATCATATAAGTCTGCGCAAGCAACGTGCAATTTATTTTTCGACAGTTCAAGTAGTATCACTTTTTTCTCAATTTCTTCGGTGCTAATTGCTGAATATTGACTACTTTTACTGCTTACCAACATTAAATGATCCAACCGCCTATCGCGTATTAACGTTTTTTTACTTTGTCCAAAGAAATTTCCAATGCAATAACTTTGATTATTTAAATCTGATTTAATTCCAACAAATATTTTGACTTGAAAAATTCGACCGTCTTTTAATTGAACATTAAAATTTGCTCTTTTTTTTCACGTGTGTAAGAGGTACTCGTAATTATCTTCTCATTTATTATTCCTCGCTTGTAAATAAAAAAAATACCATTTTTATTAACTATGATTTCCGATCGCTGGAACGCAGTGAGTTGATACGGGAGTAATTGAGATAATATTACTGGTTTTCCTAAAACACCGACATTTCCAAGTAGTAATTTAGAAGATGGCCTTGATTTTCGATTCAACATCTCATCCAAGTACTTTTTTTGTTTGTGGTTTAGATGATTTTGACAAATAATCAATAATCTGTCAATGCAGCATTTTATTCGGAATGAATCGCAAATTTGTATATGAACACCATTAGAACTTTTTACATACTCTTGTATCGTCTGATTAAAATCTTCATATATAAAAGCGCTATGAGTAGGAAGTGGTCCCCAGTTTTTAACACTCTCAGATAAATGTGCCAGTAAATGAACATTAAAACTGACATGTTTCTTTCCATAAAGACTTTCGACTCCAGTAATAAATTCATGTAAGCATTGACCAGCATAAACTAATTCAGATTTCATAACAGACTTTTTGACTAATATAGAAATGCCGTCAACTAATAATGCCCAATGATCAACAAATTTTTTTGGGAACACAAGTTTAAGAATCGGTAGACTGTATACAAAAAGAAAAGCCACCCATTCGTGAGCTTTAAAATGAACTCTGTCGGATAGTTTTCTTGGCGTTCTTAAAAATGTTGAAGTAGGAAAAAATGAGGTTATTAAATTATCCACAACATCAATTCGGTCTCCAAAATAAAATTCTTCATTGCTATTTTTACTGTCAAACCAAAGCCCTGCAAACTGCCGACAAACTCCCAACCCCACACAGTGCATCCAGTCTACATCCAAACTTTTAATAATGTCAAATCCAGGAATGTCGCATAGGACTGATCAACTTTTAATACCTTTTTTTTTATTTTTTTATTTTTCTTCTGCATGTCTTAATGTTTCACGGTGAGATCTTAATCCTTCGCCAAGGGCATTGCCATTGACAATAGGATATACTCTGGCATGACCTCGACCTTTTGCAATACTTTCTCCGGGATGAAGGCACAAACCGCAGCCGTATTCACCGTTAAATTGCGTAGAACACCTTAAAATAGGGCGAGCCACAGAGTCACAAACTCCCATCAAAATAACTACATATTTTTTGTACTCTTGACCCGTGTAGACATATTTAAAACCTTTATTAAATAATTTTGTAGCTTCATCCACAAACGGCTTTAAATAACCATTCATAGACTTCGGTTTACCTGTCCCAAACCATATGCTAGATAGCATTATATGATTACGCCTTTTTATGGGGTCTAATTCATTAATAGTACATAAAATAGGATATACTGAACTGTTGGAACTGTCAAATATCGGTGCACCATCAACGCTGAAATTTATTGATATGGTATTATCGTTACAGATTCTTTTCTTATATAATTTTCCGTCATAAATATCTTCCAAACCATTTGTATGTATTTTTTTACGATTCTTGGAGTGTAGATTATGAGCTTCAGTAGTCTCAAAAATTTCTCGAAGTTGATCTTCTAATGGCAGATGTAAGAAGAAACTTTTATCCAATTCACCTTCGTTTTTGACTTTATGCAAACAACTATCACATTGAACGATTCTATTTCTAATAGATCCTAAATAATTACCACATTCGATACACATATAATGAGTAGTGACGCGCTGTGAATATTTATCAATAATTTTTTTGAAATGATAAGATGAACTCTTATCATCAGATACATCTGTGGCAATGTTGAGAAGTCTAGAAATGTCTGACGCTACTGTGAATGTTGTATTACGCCGCCATTTAATTACCAGTGTAAGTAAATAATTTATTAATCTTGGCATTGGAATTTTAATGGAGGAGTTTTCTTCTTTACTGTTCAACTGCTTACTGGGAAGCTTATTGGGCAACTTAGTGAGTAGCTCAGTATTATTTGTTTCAATGTGGGAAATGTTATTTCCGGATTCAGTATTTGCATCATAATTGTTTACTTCTTGGTCTTGATTTCTGTAATTTGATTTTAAGTCTGGACTATTAACAACAGCTTCCAACGTTGGATTTTCATCACAGGGAATCAAGCTATTTAGATTTACATTCGTTTTATTACCAAACTCGTTAAATTCTGTTGAAACAGGTTTTCTAACAACTTTAAAGTATGGGGCGGTTTGCCTAAAAATTTAAAATAGAATAATTAAAAAATTAAATTACCAGTAGTCCGTATTTATAAACTCGTTTGATTATTTAAAATGTAAAGAATACAATATACAAAAGAGAAAAATGAAAGAAGAGAAAACTTTTAAAAGTTTCTTTTAATTTATTTATTATTAGCTGATAATTTGATAAAATGATCCTATTTAAATGAAATTTTTGGAGCCAGTTTAAGGTGAGTTGAAGTTCAGGTATACTTGAGTCCAAATAAATTAATTACCAATAATGTATCACAGATCAAATTTGATAAAGAAAATCTTTAAAAGAAAATCAATAAATAAACATATTTGATAAGAGTAAATTTAAAAATTTTTTTTTTGAAGTAATACAACTATTTTCCGTGTCTGATCGTATTTGAGTGGATTTGATTATTATATAACTTATTCTCCATTTCAAATCGTCAATTCGATAAATTTTATTTATGATAAAAAAACAATAATAATTACATGTTATTGAGTTATGCTCTCTCGATTTACAAAAAATTGTTGTTCTTCATTTTTATTAAATTTTGAATTTTGATACCTAATTAACAAAATACACGACTGACTTAAAATATTTTATTAACTTACTGACGTAATTTCATTTTTGCATTCCAATATCGTTTCGTCCTAGCTGGAATATCATAAGTGGAATTAAAATTGACATATTTTTTATAAGGTCCCCGTATTTTTTTTTTTTTACAGTCGTTAAAGACATTCCCAATTATTGAATAATTATTTTTCAGCGATTACACTTAATTCACATCAATATTATAATTGTTTATTTTTATGCATATTAGAATATAAATTCGTTCATTAATATAGGCAATAAATGTTTATGAAATCTATTTATAAAATAAAAGTCATCTATGAAGTTTGCGCTTGCTTCGTTTTTATTTATAAACAAACTTTGACAATCAAATGAATAACGTGTAAAACTTGTCATAAAAAACTCACGTGAATTGACATTTATAAAGTCAAAAATAATTATGGAAAATAAAATTTTTGCTCTGTTACGTTGGGTTGGAGGAGAATATCGTGGTACATATACATCAGATGTCCCGGTAGAATGGATTAAAGATTTTGATGTTGAGAGTTTTGATAGTGAAAATGAAGATCCCGATTTAAGTTACGTTGTGGAATGGCGTGTAAAAAATAAAATGCCCAAAAAGGGTTGGCCTTGTGCTGATGCTCAAGTTGTAGCCGTGTCAGGTAAGTTTTTCTTTAAATATACATTTCCTAGAAATTATAATTTTTTTTTATACTAAAACTCACTTTTTAAATGATAATAATTTAGTGTGCTTTTAGTTATAATTTTAATTACTCTCAGTAATTAATGAATACAAGAAATCAATTAACATTTTACTATAATTATCACCACCACTGGAATTTGTTTAAGGAGAAATTATTAAATACGTTAAATAGTTGTTAATTAACCTCAAATTTATGATAAAAATGTAACCACATAATTTTTTGTGTGAACTTATATTTCTGTGAAGTTATAACTATATCATTTTTTATTTTTAAAGAGGACAAAAGTAAACTACAGCAAAAACTTCAATCGATAGAAGGCGCGAGATCGCCTCTGCGATGTAAACCAACAATCAAATATTCCATTATTATTAATTATTAATTTCTGAAAAGAAGAGCATCAATATTTATCTTTGAATAATAGATAAACAAGAAAATAGCTTTATTTAGATTGAGTAAAAATTATTTCAATCAAATTTACAAGTCCTTGAGCTAAGAATATATATTTTTGGAAATTTTCAAAAACATGAATTTTTGTATTAAGAAAATTTTCATATTAAAAGAATATTTTTTTCACAGTGTATTAAAAAATATGACGAGACTTGACTCTTCGAATGTATTTGATGCCTGCCCCCACGACCAACAGCACTCGCTTCGCTCGTGCCGCAAATGTCGGGACAGGCCTCCAAAACATGCTTGTCAACATTTAAAGTTGGAAGAAGTAAAATTAATAACGTACTTTCGACTGGCTATGAAGAAAAATCGTATTTACACTACACGGCCCAAAAGTTGAAATCTTGTTTCTGCGCGTCATGATAATGACGCTCAGGGCCGAAACTTCGACTTTCGGCCCTTGTAGTGTAATATACTATTCGGATTCAGATTGAGTATGATTTTTATGTATTTTTTCCAACTGAATTTGAATATGAAATCTTGTCCCATTAACGTTTCAAAATTTTACAGAATCTCAAAAGACCAAAATAATCGGGAAAATTTCAGTTACAAATACGAGAAAAATCTATTAAACACGATTGTTAATGACTTGGGTGCATTTTCATGTATGAAATGTAAACTTAGAATGGAAAAATTGACAAAATTTTAAAATCTGTAAAAAGTAGCATGTAAGGAAGAGGTGCGAATCTAAATTTTCAAATTTCTGACTGTCATTCATTTGTATCGAATTTTTAGCTTCCTGCTAAGAAAATCGAAGATTTTCAAAAAAAAATATATACATATTAGACTAGGCCAAAAAAATTGACTATTTTTTTTTCTTACCTATATCGAAAATATTATTCAGAATGACAAAAGAAAATTTCGTGAAAATTGGGGCCGTTAATATTAATTTTAAGAGGTCTATCATCACTATGTTTAATTTCAATTCATAGTTTGATGTTTACGTCAGAACTGCGAAAAAATTGGAGTGAAAAAAATTTATTTTCACTTATTCTTATGTAAGATTAAATTTCCTACAAAAAGGTCTCATTGAAAATTTTCGTCAGACGAGCCGTTTCTGATTAATTAAGCTTAATAAATTGATGTGATTTTTCGATTTAATATTTTTACTTTGGAATTTTGTTACTAACACATCAATAAATATACAAAAAAGATCATAAAAGATTTTCGAAGGAAATTTAATGCTCTAAAAAAAGAGTCTAATATTTTAGCTTAAATTCACTTCTTTAAAAGTTATTGATGATTGAAATGGAAGAAAAAATTAAAATCTCGAGTTTTTCGTTATTAACTTAATTTTTTCCACTAAATTCAACAAATTAACTATTTCAATCATCATTAAGCATTACCCAGACAACATCCAAGTCAGAAGGATTTCTTAAAGAAATCCCCGAGAGTACGAGTAACGACGAGGCGGCAGTAGAACAAAGCCGTGGCTGTAAGTTGGCGGGAAGCAGTTCGTCGATTACAAGGTACATTGTCAAGTCTCGTGGGCAAAATTCGACTGTGGTTAGCACCCAGTCTTATTTCCTCTTCTGGACAAGGTTTTAATTGTTTTAATTGGTTTTTATAAATTAAAATAATTATTGGGTTAAAATATAGTTGCTAGAAAATTCTGTGGTCCTAGACAACATCCAAGTCAGAAGGATTTCTTAAAGATGTCTTTTCAAAGACTTCCTTGAGAACTCCAAATATGACGTCTTAAAGACCTTATTTTTCGGAACTCTTAATTAAGAAGTCTTTAAGAAGTTTTTTTTTTAAGTTCTATAAGACATCACAGATATGATCTCTTTGAGGAGTCTTTTTTCCGACTTCGTAAGAGGTCAAAAAAATGAGCTGTTCAAGAGGTCTTTTTTTGGACTTTCCAAACATCAGAAATATGAGCTCTTTAAGAGTTCTTTTTTTCTGACTTTGTAAGACATCAACAATAGGAGCTCTTGAATAGGTTTTTTTTCTGATTTTGTACTTCGTTAAAATATGGGACTTAGAAAAATTTTTCTCACGTTATTAAAGAATTTTTAAAATGATGAAAAAATAAAAATAATCGCATTCGAGTGAACTCATTTCGCTGTGTATTTATTTTGGTATTATAAAAATATTATCGTAAATAGCAAAACGTTCAGTAATTCTACTTATTAAATATTAAATCAATAATTATTGATAATTAAATCGAAAGGTATTTTTTTTTATTTTTGGGTAGAAAAGTTGATATCAAGTCTTTTATCGTTGCTATAAGTCGTTTATAATCTTATGTGAACATAAAAGCTTATGTAGAAAAAAAAATTTACTATCTCATTAGGAGCAACTAGCCAAGGCAGATCAGGGGACACTACATCACTGCAGTTAAGAGGCATTAGTCATGGTAAATACATGGATGGGTGACCGCTAGTAAATTCATATTCTAAGCTGCGAGCGACACCATTTTTTTTTTTTTTATTTCGAAGAAAATATATTTTAATGTACTTGATTGTCTTCAATTTAAGCTCTTTTTTAATATTAATTACAATTAAAACTGAAAATGTCTCCTCTATGAACTATTTTTTTCTGGAGTCAGAAAGGGCTCTTAATTCTGACTTCTTTAAGAACTCTTTTTTTGAAGTCAGAAAAAAGAGCTCTTTAAGAACTCTCTCTATGAAGTCCTGATTCACTCTTTAGGTGGCGCATTGGACGTCCTCAAAAGGTCTTGGAGACCTCATTTTGATCAAATTTCTGACGTCTAAATTTTAAATAAGAGTTCTTTGAGAACTGTAAAAGACGTCATATTGCTATCTGGGTATATATACAAAATCTCTCAATATTTATCATTATTCTAACAATAGTGCTACAGAAATATATGAATTTCACAATAAATAAAAATTTATTTCTGCTTAATTGATTATTTCGGAACAATAACATAGTTTTACTGTATCGAAGTAATTTTTGAGCAAACAAATATTGAGTTTTACTGTTAAAAATGATTTATTTTCAATATTGTTTACATTTATATGAAAGAAAAATTAAATTATGGCTACTTAATTAATAATAACAATAATAGATGTTGTGAAATTCATTTTAAACACAATTATAATTTATGGGGCATTTCAGGCCAAATCGACCACTTATAACCACAATCCATTTCGATTTTTCTAAAATTTCGATGAAATTCTTATTTGATTCGATTTAGAGCAACGCATCAACTTTCAAAAAATTTGGGGCAATTAATTTAAAATAAAATTTGTTTGAATTTATTTTTATTCACACAGTTATTTAAAAACGACAGCTTTTTTGTGTTAAGTAACCATAACTCTTTTGAAAATTAATTTATTAGGATGTTTTTTTTTGAAAATTTTGTTTTTAAATGTACTTTTCAGAAAAAATTATAAGACTAATAATTCGGATTCATATTCAACGCTTTTTTTTTTATTTTGGAAAAAAACGAAAATTTCGGGATGATTGACATTTCTGATTTTTAACTTCCCGCTAAGAAAATCGAAGATTTTCAAAAATCGGGAAGTTATTGTTTTCACCACGTTCTGCAAAAATCGAGTTTTCATCAGATCTGGACGTTTGAAGGTCACAAGAAGCTTTAAAGCTTCCCTGACTATCCCCGCGAGGTTGTCACTATGTATGTATGTATGTAAGTATGTATGTGAGTGTGTGTGTGTGTGTGTGTTGTTTTTTTTTTTTTTTTTTTCCCTTTAGGGGGGGGAATCCTTTTTACGGATTCTAGGCATAGATGTTGGCCCGGATATGTGGCGACTAGACGCAGCGTCATACTAAAACTTGACGCTGACGCCCCTACCCACTAAACACTAAACCCCTTTCTCTTCTATCCTCTGATCCCCCATGGTACCGCCGTAAGGCATTTCTTCGCGGGGGGAGGAATTAGCTGCCACTCTTCCTTCTGGTGGCTAAGATGTTATTTCTTCCTTCTAGTTTCTGTCATTCGCTCTTTTCCTCTCAATGGATCGCAACTCGGTAAACACTTTTGTAGCAAAAGTGCTTGTGGCGTTCCAGGCAGCTTCTGATGACAGCATTGCTGCTACTATTATCCCTGGTTGGATTTTCCTCTTCAGGATATTCTCCAGCTCAACCCGTTGTGGTTAAAAACGCGAGCACTCAAAGAA